TCCGCCAGAAGAATTGGTTCGTAAGAGTTCGGATCGAAGTGGACTTGTCTGTCCCATCTTTGTGCCCAATAAGGATGCAGGACCTTTGACAAGCACACCGATGTCATTTTGCAATACGACCATTCACCTCGTGGAACCATCCATGGGGATTTCGGAGGATGGGTTGACTAGATTTGACTCGGGAAAAGTGAAGGCTGGAAGGTTGATTGAACTTCAGGCGATGAATAGTCTTCACGTGGGACAGCCACTTCGAATGCCGCAAGCCCAAAGTCTTGCCAAAGAACTCGGGATCCGAATCATACCATGCCGTTGGGTCCTGACAGCCAAAACGGTGGAGGGCATGCCTGGGCAATGCCGGGCACGTTGCGTTGCTCAAGAGATCGCTAGTGGAAGTGCTTCAGCCTGGGTATTTCGAGCACAACGCCCAGCGTCGAAACCTTTCGTTGTTTCTTGAGCATGATCCAGCACCACGACATGCATTTGGAGGGACTTGATATTTCCACAGCTTTTTTGAACAGCGAGCTACCAGCTGGAGTCCGAGCAATCGTGAAGCTTCCATCTGACTGTTCATTTGAAAGCACACACTACGAGGGAGTGTATCTCGATCTATACAAATCGATGAACGGACTCCGAGTAGCAAGCAAGAGCTGGCTGCAGTCATGCACAAGGATCCTCACTGACAAGGTGAATCTCGTGCCCTGCATGTCTGAACCTACCGTGCTCTGCGGCATGTCGTGTCCTTCAAATGCTCCAGTAATAGTGATAATATATGTTGATGACCTATTGGTTGGTTCGGTCTCCAAGAGTGGAATTGCCGACGTCAGGGGAGCCCTTCAAGAAACCCTGAAGGTAAAGGTGACTGGTACCATCACGAAGTCAAATGGAGCCGGAGGCACAATTGTCTTCTTAGGGCGTCACATCATCCGTCCCGCCGGGTCACAAGACATCTTGCTTCGAGTGCCACCTAGCTATTTAGAGGACTTATTTGTCAATGATCCTTTCTGTTGTGAGCTTCGGTCCTCCGATGTGCCACCAGATTTGTTGAGTATTCTCGAAAAGGGAATAAAGGACCCAAGTTGCATTGAGCTTTTGACGGAAGAGGCATCTTCGAGGTACAAGAGGATCATTCGCAAACTATCGTGGTGGGCACAGTCCAGGCCTGATCAAGCCAGATTCCTGTCCATTCTGGCTACAGGACAGGCGACGCCTAGCAATTTGCACGAGCGTGCCCTGAGAAGGTACCTTCGGTACGTCAGGAGTCATTTGCATCTTTTCCAGAAATTTCCTTCAGGGAATGTTGTGCTGCCTGAACTTGATGGCCTGACCGGCGTCAGTGACGCGTCTTGGGGTTCGAGCGACCTCGAGAAACGACGCTCGACGAGCGGTGGGTTGGTGTTCTGGCAGGGATCTCTTGTGAAGGGATATAGTAGGATTCAGGGTTGCATTACGCTTTCTTCTTGCGAAGCAGAGATCATAGCAGTATGCCAACTTGCTCAAGAGTGTTTGGGAATCCGACATGTCACAGAATTTTTGGAAAGCTTTGGGGACAGAAACATGTTGTTGCGACTCACCAGTAAAGAGTATCTTGAGTTGAGGTTTGATGAAAGTGGCAACCTTGGTGACCATCACCCCATAGTGATCTTCACGGATTCACAAGCTTGCATCGGTGCTTTGAGCAACCAGGGACTGAGTAGGCGAGTTCGCCACATGTCGATCTCAGTCTGTTACATCCAGGCGTTGAGAGATTGTGGACATCTTGTTTTGGAATGGCTGCCAGGCACTAAGTGCACTGCTGATCTCCTTACCAAGGTATTGCCCATTGAAGCAAACAACTATCATCGTAGTCAGCTTGGAATCGTTGAGGTCCTAGGACAAGAAGAATGGCAAGTGATCACAACTAGAGATAGGAAGAAGCAATCTCGAAAGTCTGACGTGCAGACTGCCGAATTCCAAGATGACGATCCGCATGTCGGAAACCTTTCAGTTTTTGAGGCAAAGAAAAGTTTGTCTGCTGGAGGTCTCGATGACTTCAAGAGCTTTTTGAGTTTTGTGGGGATGCAGGTGAAAGCCGGGATCGTGACGCATATCATCGTTGAACTGTGCACCACCTTCCATGCAGGATTGTCACAGGGAGTCAATGCTTTCAACACCAAGTGTTGTGTTGTGATTCCTGTCACTCAAGACATTGATCTTTTGCGTGTTGGCAAGCTTTTGCGTTCATGGCTTGTTCAAATGAATGGGATTCACCCCAAAGCATTGGTTCTCGGATGGTCTTCCCCTCCGTGCACAGGAGGATCACCGGTCCTTAATTTGATTCCCCAACCAAAGCGAAGTGAACTCCAGAAGGGGCACCTAGAAGCACTTGAAAGAATCCTTGGTGAATGCCACCCAATCTTGAAGATTTGTGATGTAAGGGTTCTTGAGATGAGTCAGAGGTGCTCATACTGGCGTGAGGAGCTGGTTCAGTCGTTCTGCCGGTTCCATGGGTTGGAGTCCATCTTGGACGTAGCGCGATGTGCCTATGTGAATGACGTTGAGAAAACGCCGGCTTTGCATCGATATCGATTTGCATGTTCCATGCCCATGTTTCAGCCGAAGATCTGCCGTTGTGAGAGCCACATGTCGTTAAGCGACCAGCATCTGTCAAAGCTAGGTGAATATCCAAAGGACCTGGCAATTGATGTAGTGAAATGGTTAGTCACGAAAGGCTTTGAAGCATAGAGGGACTGAATTCAGCTGAACGATCGTCTTTTGTTTTTGCATCTGTTGTGACTCAATTGATCCAGTCGATGTACATTGCCATTTGTAGCAAGTGGGATCGTGTGGACCGACTTGAGCACGACAGAACGAAGAAATCCACATAGTGTTTATTTCGAACTTGACTCAGTTGGGAACAAGATCTCATTTGATTCGAGCTTTTCATATCACCATTGTGCATTGAGTGCCAATAGGTTGCAGTCGCTAAATTCCATAAATTGGATACAATTCAAATCTTTGCAAGTGTTCTTGAAGCCATGGCCCCAAAGTCCAAGATCACGATCACAGTGGATGCACCAAGTGACACGGAAGTTCATGTGACCGTGAGCCCTGGGCAGGTGGCTGAGGATTCGGGAGCAGGGACCTCGACAGATGTTCAGACCAAAGGAGGTTCAAAAGGGAAATCCAAGAGCCAGGTTGATGGAGAGCACTCGAAGGATGGCAAGATGGATCATGATGATTCTCTCAGTGAAGGGGATTGGGAAGAAGTCAAAGCAGAGCCTTCAGCTTCGTCGCCGATCCCACCGAGTCATTCGCCGCCAGAACCGCACCCTCCTTCGCATTCCCCGCCAGATGCTCAGGAACTACCTGAATCTCGCTACAAGATCACGAGGAAGGCAGGAGAGCGTGTGCATCGTGAGTCATGCCGGATGCTCAAACATCACGGGGAGCATCAAGTGATTTTGCCCTCGTTGTGCCCGATTTGTATGCCGGCAGGTTTTTTTGTCTCAGGAGACGCGAGTTGGATTCAGTTTTGAATTTCCATCTCATCTCCACACCGTTGGCGAACATAGTCGACCTTCTTGCATCCCAAGGTGCGACAAGATTTTGAAGCCTTGCCGCCAGTGCATCTTCATCCCATAGCCCAAGACTTGAAGGATTTGGTTAAAAAGAAGAGTTTGAAGCTTTGAGATTTGACCCCAAAAAGAAAAATAACCTTCTCTCGTTTCGAACATTTTCGTTGTACATCTTTAAGCTTGGCGAAATGTGATGCTTGGATCTCCTCACAAATTGATAAATGCACGATGTTTCAAGCCAAAGAGGCAGACATGCACTCAGAAGAAAATTCAATGCTTGTATCGAATAGTCGACTTGCAGAGTAAGGTTTCAATGCATGATATTTCAGCGTTTTTTGCGCACAGGTTTTCATGACACAGTTCAACACACATCCGTTTACAACATACACTGGAATAGCTCTCGAAAAAGCATAGTGCAGGTCTTTTCAGAAGAGCCAGAGTTCGGATGTGCCGAAATCGTGATCCCAAGCAGGGTGACAGCCTTAGCTGTTGTCCAGCAGAAGGGGATGATGATGACCGTGATCCCAAGCAGGGTGACAGCCTTAGCTGTTGTCCAGCAGAAGGGGATGATGATGACCTTGAGTCAGTGGCCACGCCCTCGTCGAGCAACTCAGACAAAAGAGCGTGGCAACTTGCCCAAGCGGTCCAACACCGGGTTTGGGAGAATATGAACTGAATGTGCCGAGAGATGTCTTGATGATTGCTATCCACAAAGTGCAAGTCCCACCTTTGGTTGAGGGGGGGTGTGAATAGTTGACACCTCAATAGACCTCTTGACAACCAAAAGGGTTCTTGCATTTACTTGTGTATCTATAGACACATATAAGGCATATTCACTTGGAATGCATAGGCTGTGGATTCACGAATCCATTTTTGGCCAACTCGTCATGTGCCCCGAGTGCACAAATCGAGTGTGTACTACATTCCAGTCAGAGAGGTGCATGGGCCCCTGCGCAAGGAATGACAACCAGTCGAGACCGCACGGCCCCTGCACAAGGGATGACACGCATTCGAGACTTCGACATGCCATCGTGGCATGGCTCAAGCGCGACAAAAGTGTCGCGCACCGGAAGCTGGGCGGTGGGAGGACGTCGCGTGCCGACACCGACGAGGGTTCGAGAAGTGTACCAAGTTTTGCATTTTGTTTTTCTTGGGTTTTGACAACTTGTTCAACTTGGTTTGAAGTTTCATAGGAGGTGGTGGTGGTGGTGTCAGCAAGCATATCGATCATATTGCAGGGTTGCTGCTGTGCCAGCTCAACTAGAGTCTTGCAAAATGAACGGCTCGTTCAGGAAACCCAAATCTTTTCTACCATTCGAATCCGGTCGAAGCGTTATGTTTCTTGCAAGTGGGCATGTTACGAACAGGTAGTTTTATAGAAAAGGAGTCCATGTCCCCAATTGTTGCCTGGGGCCCGACTGGGCTCGACCCCTCGAAGAGTTCGAGATGTCAGAACCCCCAGCAGTTGCTTGGACCAAAGATCCGAAGGACCAGAATGACCTGAAGGAGCTGAGGGAGCAAGTGGAGGCGATCCTCAAGTCCAAGCTGAGAGAGTCCGATTTTCTGGAACGACAGAGCCACTTGGGAGTGTACGTTGATGAATGTGGATGTGGCGGGTGAGTACATCCTCGCTAGGTTTCTTCTAAAGAAGGGATTAGGGGAGAAGGAACGAGCGGCGCGACTGACTTGCATGAAGAAGAGATAGATAGGAGAATGGACTTTGCTGTAGGTTTCCCAGTGCATAGCCTACATAGTGATCTAACAGTTTCGATTCCAACATATTCCAACATGGCTCTTGAAGCTGTCAAAGACTGAGCAAGCATGTCCAATGCCAAACGTGTGGCCATCCTAAGGCTACTTCGAACTGCTGCAGTCTGTTGGCGTCCCATCACATGAGGCTGATGTCTTCCTGAAGGAGAAAAAACACTGGCATTGGGAAGAAACCTGTGCAAACTGATGACATTTTTGATCGTTTTTGTCATTTTCAGGTAAGTCAGGCAAGTCTCCTGAAAAAACCATATGGTCCCCCTATTCAGATGGACACTATCTTTTTGTTCTCATTGGTTGAACAAAGGCGATCGGACAGGGCAGCTCCGTTGTTCACTTTGATGTTTCATTTTTTTTGCTAGGAGTACCCAGAAGGCTCGTGGATACGCAGCTTGGCAGGGCCTGGAAGAACACTATTTTGCAGCTGGTGAAATGCCTGTCATTTGCGGGGCAAACAGTTGGTGTGAAGGGGGGGATAGAAACCGGATTGTGTATCAGCTTCACAAACAAACTAGGTTACTGTGCCGCGGCATTTTGAGCAACTAAGGTGTGAAAGACTTCTTGGATTTCCTCTTCGCCTGCCCGGAGGCGACCTCGGCGCCGCGTGGGGAGGCGACTTCAGCGCGGAGGTGCAAAAAGCAACGTGTGACCGAGCCGTTTTGGATGAGACATGAGAGGTTCATGAGAAGTTCTCGGAAGGCTTTAAGGCTTTGATAGCATGTTTTATCAATGTTTTTTCAATGTTCAGTAGGGAAGGTAGTATGAGAAACGAAGCATTGGTTCGTTGCCAAATGGATGTTTAACGCACCCAGGGTGTGCCTGGTTGCAAGGCAGCTGAAGCGGCCGATGCACTCTCCCAGAATGGCAAGGGACTCAGCTGCGGAAAGAGCTTGTGGGCTCTTGCGGTCTTGCAAATTTACCAAGTGTTGTGCTGTTGAACTTCAGTTTGTTATAGGCCCTTTGGCATTTGGGAGAGGTATGGCGGAATGGCTTAGCAAGTGGCCCTTTGCGCCATGAAGCGTGCTTACAAACCGCCCACGATCTTCGTCTTGGGACAGATTCCACCCGCCCAGGCTCGGCGATCGGAGGTGTGGCGCCACGAGGCGCTCAAAACTGCTCAGGCTTGGTGTGGGACTTGGGAGAGGTTCCTCACTGATTGACGGTTGTGGCGTTCCTAGTGCTTTGAACCTCCAGCTTGCACCTTGCACTGCGCATCGATTTCGAAAGGATGCAGACTACCCTTGGCAAAGTCAGAAAGTTGGGTCCCTTAATCATCAAGTACTCATTTTGCCATCCTTCTCCCTGGGTGTTTTGTGGGCACCTCTTGTGGCCAGCGACTTTGGTACAAGTACGTTACATGCATGTGTATATACATATATGGTACCCCCCAAAAAAACTAACACTTTTAAAAAAGGGGAGGTTGGGGGTACCAACAAATCTGAATTTGCAATGTGCATGTGGCAGCCTGAAGGCCAGACAGCCAAAAGTTAGATAACCAGCGCCAGGACGACTTCACGCTCAATTATCATTGCAAAACTCTGAGCATGGCGTTGGCAGGTTGCCATAGAGAAAAGTAACGGAGAATCTTTGCTCGAACAATCGGAAGAACTACAAAACATATTTCAGTGTTGGCTGAACGATGACAACCCAGGACCTTGGCAACTGTTTTCTTTTGCTGAGTTCATAAGAATTTTAAAAGACCAACATACCTCAGATATCCTTTTCTTTCAAAGCCGTAAGACATCTACCCTCGGACAGTGTTAACAGACCAGCGGACCAGCAGGTTTCACTCATGCCGCGTTGATGCTGCGTGATGTGGATGAGCAGAGAGGAAGTCAGGACAGAGTGGTTCCGACGCCCATACCACTTGAACGTGTTTTACTAAAGAGCTGAACCATATAGATGTTTTTCAAAAAGCGAACAACATCAGGGAATCTTATAAATTCATTTGACGTTCAGCCTTTGTGCAATGATGCAGCTTGCACGAACACACGGCCTTTTTGCTTCAAAGCTATCAAGCTATGTCAGTCTGAGTGTGGACTAGGAGCAATTGGACAGCATCCGCACCAAGAATGACGAGTTGTCAAAGCAACTTCAGGAGGCCCACCATTGGCTGACGAGTGATTCGCAGAATCCCACTGATGGTTGCTCAGGCACAAAGACAAGTGCAGGCTGGAGAGGCGGAACATCGATGTGCCGAACAGAGATGTATTCTGCGATGTTTGTCGAACTCTCTTGGCCGGATGTCTACTCACTTCAGTGGCATGACCGAAAGATTTTCGACGCTGAGCAATCATCACCTTTTGGAGTTTGAAGAGTTCCGATAATCATATTTTGCAGACATGCCCAGCCAACTTCTTGACATTGTTTCCAGCAACTTCTGAAATTCATTCAGTGTTTGTGCATGGGACAGCCAACGTGTAGCACATTTAGTCTATTGGAAGAGAACAACTGTGGGTGCATTTGTTTTTGCCTTTGGGGCTCTGGGGAAGAAACAACACATTTCAGTTGTGTGTTGTCAAACATGCATTGTCTTTTTCATTTCAGTTGGGCCATTTCGCTGCTTCTTATGGTTTGCCAAGAACGGTGGTTTGCAAGAGTCTCACTTTAGCGTTGGCAGTCCTCGACGCTCCCAGCTTCTTTTACAGTTGGTTGTAGGTCGTCTAGTGTACTTGTTCCTTGAAGGCAGAGAAGGAGCAACTGAAGAAGCAGTTGGAAAATGCAAAGCGCGAGGCGGAGCCCGCATCCTGACCACCAGAAATACTGCAATGTAAAGGCAAAAGCGGAAGATGTACAGTATTGTGTATTCTGTTCTAAATCTGCCAAGTGTATGAGCATGTTTGCTTGTGTTTGCCGGCGCCTCCTCTACAGGCCAAAGACAAGGAGGCAGCTTCCCGGCTTTCGAGCGGAGAAATCAGTTTTGTGATGATTTGCGACATGTCTTCTTCTCCAGAGGCGTCACCGTGCTCCAAGCAGTAAATTAGGTGTTCTCAATATCTACAGTGACGTGTGTTTTGCCAAGTCTACATGCAAAAGAATCGTGATCGAGTTTGTGGGACTCAGCAGTGATTCCAAGCCTCAAGCCCTTTAGATTTGCGTTGCCTTTCGCACATGTATTGCTTCTTCGTTTCAGCCAGGCAGCTAGGCTTCTTGTGGAATTGACACCACAAGAAGGATTTTATTTCAGTTCTTCACTGGTCTCACCCAAAGCGGCAGATGTTGAAAACCCAAAGCTGCTGCAAGAGCGTCAACTTGGTGGACAGCTGTACAGATAAGGGACTGCAAGTGTGCTGCATGTGTACGACTTTACTGAGTTTGCTGCTAGTCTGACACTGAGAACGCCGTTCAAGACGAATTGCAACGGCAATTCTACGTACAAACTGGGGGCAAGCCAAGTTGTGGGCATGACAAGGGTTCACTTTGCTTTGCAGTGTTGATGTTTGGGAAACAAACATGTTTTCTCACTGTTCCGTGGAGTACCCTCATGCGTTTGATCATTTTTGTACCTTTGTACCAGCTGTGGTTTATTGCGTAGCAATTTACGACGTCTTGTTGCATCTCATTCTGCCAAACCTACCCTTCGTGTTGCTTTGCTCCACAGGCGCAAATCGAACAGCTAAAGAATGAACTCCAGGAAGCGCAGCAGAAGGCACCGTCGCTAGTGTTTGCAGACATTGAAGACAGATCCCAGCAAGACCTACCAATCAGACCTCCATATGGTTTATGTCGGAGTTCTTGATACGCTCCACATTTGGCTCACCATCTTCCAAGATTTTTTACACAGAGGACTACGGTTGGCCCCGTTTTTTGCTTTGTAGCGTCGCACGGCAGCGGTGCACTAGATTTCGCGCGTTTTTACTTTGTCCTCTCCGGCCTCTTCAGAGTTGGCTTCTTCAGCCTAGCAGCTAGCATCCTTCTCAAAATATACTATACAAGACAGTCAAGACTTGGCCTTTCACTGTTGACAGGCAGAGTCAAGAACTACTGGACAAGAGGCCTGGGTACAGTCTGTGCAGAGAAAGATACTGCCTGAAGGATATAGAGATTGGATCCGATTGGCTGTGGAGGGGTTTGTTCTGACTGGTTAGTGTTGAGTCTTTACGAGAAGTAGATGAGTCAACAAGTACGTTTCGGACGCCTTTCCGTAGGATGTAGACTACCAAACAACTCCAGCTTTTCCAAGATCCTGAGCTTGGCTTGGAAACCATACTTCATACATCTTACATATCATTTTCATACCGGGTCCCTAGTCACTCGAAACACTAGCTTTCTGTCTGGTTTGGAGTTCTCCTTTGGGTCTACCTCAGCTGTTCTTCCTTGAGACCAAAGGTGCACCGAAACCTCGTTTGGCAAGACCGAGAGCCCAGGAGCAGCGGACCGAAGCCGAGACCGGCGCCTCCGAAGCCGAGGCGGAGAGACTGGAGACGGCGCTCGTGTTTCGCTGGTGTTTTTTCTTCCATTCGCTCTGTTAGCTAAAGAGTGCAGCATGGGGACGATTGCATTGCTTAGCTTATAGATACTTCACAAGGTGTGTTGATGAGGATTTCACACGACACACGTGCACAGAGATGCGAAGACCAACTTTTAGACTCGACTACAGCCAGCTTCAACGCCCACGCACACACACACACACACTTTGTTTAGATCTTGAAGAGCACACGGATACGTACAAAGTGCGCACGTTTTCGTGCAAGGTGCCTAAAGTTTCCAAGGCTGGGGCTCAAATTCTGGGACTTCAAACGTTGTCGATGCTTCGGAATCTTCTGAGTTTCAAGCGAGCTCTAACGTGTGCAATTCCTTGCCTGACGTTCGAATCTATTTTTGCAAGTTACACTTACCCCTCCCTTTATGGTCTTGTTGCAAGCATCGCTGATAGTGTGCCGCTGCGGTGATCGCGGGAGTGTGACTTCAAAACTCAGTGGGCTTTCAAGGCTTTCAAGAGTACGCAGAAGTCCAGTCAATCTTCTTGCAACTCTTTTGCGCAAGTGGCTCACTGCCTTGCCCCAGGCCAGTCTGAAAGATTATTTTGAGAAAAACTACAAGCAAGGCCGTTTGTTCGATCATGAAGAGTACCGGCATGACCCGAAAGACTGGTGCTGGGTCCACACCGGACTGGATGTGAAGGTGCCATGGGAAAATGATGGAACATGCATGTACACTTTTTGCGTGGCATTTGTTCTTGTTTGACACACATTGCACACCTGCTGAGATACGAAGCCACAGAAGTTTCTCTCAGGTCTGGCAGGATGCCCTTGACTTGACTCAAGCCGACGATGCCAGCGATGTGCAATGTTTGTTCCACTACACCAACGAGCTTGGCTTTAAAAATATTACGGATTTGAGGAAGACGGCAGTGGAACTCTTCGCGATGCCCTCAGCATTCATGAAGCTTATGTAAAAGTCCATGTCTTTGATTTCAGGCATTCCTTTTAGTCAGCTGCCGGCGTTTGCATATCCGCAGGCTTCTCTGATAACAACCGGTGAGAAGGCCAACGCTTGGTGGGGGGCAGGACTGTTTACTTGCCGATTGCAATTGAAACAAAAACCTTGATCAGATCAGAAATGCATACCAGAAAGTGAACACAGAGTTTCTCACAGTTCATGCAAAAGTGAAGAGCAGAGAAGGAACATGAAGGAACTGTGACATGAACACTTGTATGAGAGACTTGCACGTGCCAGGAGTTTACTCCGTACAGAAGCCCCCAGATGAGTGGCCCAATCTCGAAAGACTGCTAGATAACAACTATAGGAGGATGCTCAAGCGCGACATTGACTTGAAGGGTCGTGAGGCAGCTGTGAAGGAGAGCTCCTGGTTGTTCCTTGATGTCCTTTTGCTGCGGCATGATTCAGTCACCAGAAGATGCCTCTTCAAACCTTGTGACAGAGGAATACAGATCCCGGGTGTCCTTCTGCATCCCCATCCTCGTCAACGCATCCATGGCCTATGATGTGTCGAAGAGACGAACGCCTGAAATGGTCAAGCAGGCAAAGTGGAGGGGCGGATTCCAACCACTAGTTGTGTATGTCTTTGGCAGCTCAAGGTTTGTTTGGAGGAGTGCAAGATTACTTTTGCCTGTCGCCAGTCTCTCTTTTGACAGGGAAAGCCCGTTGGTGTGCCGCACACCTAGTTTGCGTATGTTTGCATCTCCTAGATGTGACTGCGTGATACAGTGACAGTGGGACCGCTGTTAGATTTTATATTGCCTGGGGAATTATATACTGGGCTAATTTCTGCCGAGGAATTTAGCTGGAATGCCGCTCAACGAAGATGGTATGCCGCCTCGACAGTGTTTCGTCATTCGAGTAGACACGGAGGAGGAGGTTGGCAATGCCAGGGCAGTGCTGATGGAAGCGATGCTTGTTTGCGATGAGAAACCAATCATTTACCATCTAGAAATTTGTATGCTGCGGCTGAGACTGTTTGAGTCAGGGTTCCAAAAACATGAGTTGCAAGGAGTTCCATCCACTCCTGCCAAGCTTTACATTCTGGACAGAACACGCTGTAGCCCAACGTTCAACCCATTTTTCGGTGAGTTTTTCTCTAGCCAAGGGTCCGCTGCCGTGCCAAAGCTATCGAAGAGAGACTGGGATCAGAGCATTTTGAAACCCTCAAGGCATCAAGCCGGCTGGGGCCTTGGTCTTTTCACCAACCAGACAATGTAATGTAATTAATCAAAATTATGAACTAAAGCTAAAGCAGATAGTCGATGTCAATTTCCACTCATTTTCAGGATTCTTTTGGAATACTGCAAAATTTCGGCCCTTGCGCCCCCGCCCCGAGGTTGGCCAACGTGCTGACGGCGCGCGGTGACTATGCCAAGGCGGAGCCGCTGTGCCGGCGAGTCCTGGCGAATTACGAAACGGCGACCCTCAGAGAGGTGCAGAAACTGATGGAGACGATGTATTACGCAGGGGACCTGGCGGAGGCTGAGACTTTGTGCAGAAGAGCTGTGACTGAACGCGAAAGGGTGCTGGGAGAGATGCATGCGGAGACCCTACTGTCGGTGAACGATCTCGGGTTAGTCTTGTGGCAGCAGGGGAAACTGAAAGAGGCTGAGCTGTTTTCCAGGAGAGGTTTGGAGGGACGTGAGACGCTGCTAGGGGCTATGCATCCGGACACATTGGAGTCAGCCAACAATCTTGCGTTGGTGCTGGCGGATCAGGGCAAGCTCGAAGAGGCCGAAGGCCTTAAAAGAAGGGCTTTGGCAGGCTTTGAAGCTCAACTGGGAGCTAATCATCCGGACACATTGATGTCCGTTAACAACCTTGCGGGGTTGCTGAAGAAGCAGGGCAAGCTCCAAGACGCCGAAGGCCTTTTCCGAAGGGCTTTAGCAGGCAGTGAAGCTCAGCTTGGAGCCCGTCATCCGAGCACTCTGACGACCGTCTTCAATCTCGCCGGCCTTTTGGAGGCGAAGGGCGGCCACGCCGAGGCGCGGAGAGCGGTCGCTCCGAGCCGTGGAGCCGAGGTCGGGGGAGCCGTGAGAGGTCGGTCCCGGGGAAAGGCCGAAGGAGCGGAACCGAAGAAGGTGGTGGACATGAACGAAAAACATCAATTTGTTTGGAGATCTTTGCCATGTGTTGTTTGACGTGTTTTGCAGTTCTTTTTGGTTGCAATGCCTTGAGGGATGTTTTATCAGTTTGGATGTTTTGGGCAACATTTGGTACTGATTTAGTGCTTTTTGGATACCTTTGGATGTGGTTTCTGAGAAGTCGTTATTTTTCTGACACACATTTTTAGTGTTTTAGTGCTGGAAATCAAAGATAATTCCTTCTCTGGAGGTCTTTGCCCAAGTTTTTTTTTCAACTTTGTTGGCATGAACTTAAGACGTTCAGTTGTGTTTGCCATCATTTGGCAATGTTTTAGGTTTTTGGATCCTTTTGAAGGGGTATTTGAAGGCGTCGTAATTTTTCGTGATGTTTCAGATGTCTCTTGGCATGAAAGATGTGGGGCAACGAGGAATGTTGGATGTTAAAAGATTCATGAAGATTCTGACGTTGCTTCACTTTTTTTTTGGTGCTCATCTCCTTGGGCCCCGCCAAGGTGCACTCTGCAGGGACATTGCTCGACATAGATGTTCACGATTTCATGGTCGTTTCAGATTCGCTCGGTGGAGGGTTGGGACCTGCTCTTCAAAACATGTTCTCTGGTCATGGCCATCTACCAACTAATTCAATTGGACCTTTCTCATTTTCCTGGCTTTGCCAAGATGGCAAGATGTTCGTGAAACATCATGAAAAACCAAAGAGAAGACTGATTGCCTCGTGACCAATCACTTCGGGCCGGCTTGTCCAGGTGGAAGAGCTCCTTCTTAGAGCTTTGAATGGTTACGAGGCTGGAAGCTCCACGACTCTAATCGGCGGGTTCAGTTGAAGATATATAAACAGATCTAAGGTCTAATTGATCAACATGGATCTTTGGCTCACCTGGAGAGATCATTTTTGACGCAGATCTTCAAATCTTGAACATCCCACTGGTTGGGACATCGCATCGGCATTCGATGTTCATCTCGTTTTTCCGCAGCCCCGAACCCGTCGAGACACTTTGAGATCCTCGAGACCTCACCCTGAGCCTCCACCGACACGCTGCGCAGGAGCTGCATGGCCCTGAGCACCAAACGACCCAAATTGTCCGCAGTCACCTGGAGCGCTTCCGCAGAGAACATTCCACCGGTTGAGGCGCGGAAGTGCGGGGCAGACACCAGAGACCTGGGAGACCGAAGCTGCGACCTGGAAGACCGACAACTGAATGAGGTCCAACAAGTTTAATCCTTTTCAACAGATCTAATCGCATCCTTTCATTCCTGGTTCGCCTTCTTGTGTTGGTCATTACAGTCATAAACCCCGCAACAGGCGGGGGTGAATGTTGCACGTCAACGGGCAGGGGCACGCGGCATCTCAGTCCGCCGACTGTGCGCTGTTGGTTCCCTTTTTTCTGTCGAGTTCTTCAATTCTTATGAAACTACCATATTGTGAAAGGGAAAGCAGGTGATACACGGACAAAGAGATTGATTAAAGCGTGGCTGGTTTTGGAGTTGTTGTAAGGTTAGGGAAGACTCTTATTGCTCATCCAACACGTGGGCACCACGTCTCATGGTTCTTGTGGGGGCGAAGCAATGGAGTAGCATGATGTAGCAGAATCCATAGATGTGAGATCCATATTGCCTCAAACAGACGACTCTAGTATCGCTAGGTCCTACGGGATCCTCTTCTTTTCGCAATTTGTTTGGGATTCGTGAATTTGTGTGCCCGTTTCTGTGTCTTGCAGGCGGAAACCGACATCACTGACATCACGCTCTGCTCTCTCAACTGCCCAACTCGTGCATGACACGGTCCCAAGCCGTGGGGCGGCGACCATCAGCTGTGGACGCCCACGGATCCAAACCACATTGGAGCACCGAGAAGACGCGTCGTGGCGACCGAGACCGAGGACGCTTCTGGCGACGCAAGGCGACCCAGGACCGGACGCAAGGCGACCCTTCTTCGGCACCTCGAAACGGAGAAAAAGAATGAGGCTCGATGGAGCGCCGGTGGAGCGCGACCGCAGCGTGGTATGCGGCGGTGGTGAGGGGTGCTGAACGGGGAAGGCTCCGAAATTTCAGGTGTGAGGCTAGATGGCATTGGGTAGCTAAACAACTCCAAACAGTCGAAGGACAACAAAAAGAGACAAGTTGGGAGCACTATCGCGTTAAGGCCGCCCCCTTTTTTCCAGACATACACATACACAGAGACAATTCTGGGTTCAGTCCAGATGGAAGAGTCTGGAGCCTGGACTTCGAGATGTTCGGATCATCCCGGATCAGGGTCTGTTTGAAGCAGTTCTTCGGAATTTGACCAATCGGTTTAGACTTTTGCGGCTCTCTCTATTCGATCGCCATTGGCGAAGGTACCCATGGGCCCATGAGTCCATGAGTATTTGGTTCATCTCAATGTGTTTTTTGGGGACATGCTGTTGGCTCCAGAAAGGAGTTCTGCTTGCTTGCTCACTCTTCGTGAGGGGTTCTTGGACTTGTGGCAGACTGTGATCCGGCGGCAGCAGCAAGGCTCAAGCCAAGTTGTCACAGCACACCACACCTCTACAGCAACAACTTCACTCACATACAAATTGCCGCTAATTTCCATGGTGACCGTGGAGACTCGTTCTAACAAACTGAGCTGATGGTAGGATTGCCAGCAGAGTTGGTGCGGCTTCGTTGACTGATTTCGATAGCCCTCAGATCTATCACACAGGCGTCAACTTTTGAGTAAATCACCTAGGGAATTTGGCCAAGTGATTAAATCAACAGGGACGGGCTTTCCAATATTAGTCCATTTTCTTTATATAAAAGGCTGATGAAGATGCAACCCAAGTCTCAAAACACTCATGATTTCAAGACATCAGTTGTGGGATTATGGTCTAAAGCAGTCAAATCTGGTGTTGTACCAAGCCACAATGCACCGAACTACTTGTTTCGGGCCCCTGCCAGGGGAATCTATGGACCAGTAGCAGTAGACGGTCACCAGCGCACCTGGTTTCTTCACTGAAATCGAATGAAATCGAAACCTCGCAGACACCTAGGGCTTTCTTTCAAACCTCACTAATCAGTAACACCAAGGGCTTTCTGCATAAACAGCATTTTTCGCGAGAGACAAATTACAATACATTTTTCGTAGTTTATTCATCACGACAACGCGCCGTGCGGTGAGAGCTCTGCGCCGTGCGGCACCGCGCTCCCCGCGCCTCTTCGCAGTCCTTCTCCACCACCTGCGCCTGGGACCTGCAGCCTGAGGGCAACATGTTTTGAAGTTTTGGATATGGATGGGAGTTCGCACTTCGTACCCGAACTGTGGTCAAGAAGCCTCGACAAGCCCCAGGTCGCAATGGGGAGCGGAAGCTCTGCGCAGAAGTACCACCTGACCACGGCCCAGGTCCGTTTCGCCCGTGTGGCACGCACTTCGCGCAGCTGGACATGGGTGTCTCCAGGATTCACCGTTTACACATTAGGTTGGTTTCAGAACTTCAGTGATTCGTTGGAACGTGATTCGTAGGGTCCGGATGGTTCTAAGACAGGTAGGGCAGTCAGTTCGCTGAGGGAATGGTTCGTTCCTTCCACAACATGGACAAACAACTCTTCGGCTTCTCTGAGGGATCGAAGAAGGGAGCAGCAGGTGTTCCAAAGACTCTATGCCCTACCCAATCAACCCATGCTATGTCGGGGTGTTGATCTTGTAGGATGGAGTTTTCTAGAAATCACAACATCAGTGATAGATTTTCGAAGTAAACAGAGACACCTCTTGGAACTCGGGCCTAATCCCCCGGTTCATTTTGTTCATTCACTCTGTTTGAACCTGGCATCGGAGAATTTGACCTCCAAGTCGGTCTCCATTCCTTTGACTGCGGAGTCCAGGTGCAAGAGACCGCGGCTGTCTTGGACCAGGCATGAAGTGGACTTCTACTTATGTTCAGCCTCTACAACCTCTCATCCTACTCCTTGTTTAAGAGTGTTTAACATTGTTCAAACATTTTTAGCTTTGATCACTTCAGAGTTGCTCGCTTTGAACACGTGAACAACTTAAATACATTCGACCAAACAAGTCAGACAGCCATCGAAGAGGCAATGTGTGGACGCAACATCACAATGCTCTCCGCAAGACCCGTGCTGTTTGGTTAATATGCTGGATCTTCTTAAACGTGTGTGGGTTGGGTTGTCATTGTCATTGTCTTTGTTTCACAAGACTTGGGGGGGAAGGTCATGAATCTCTCCAAAGACCTGTATTGATCAGTGTGACATGTGTGTCCTGTAGCCCCACGACATTGTTTTGACCCCCCCCCCGAAATCATCGTTCCTGAAGGTTTCTGGAGTTGTACGAGCGTTTCTCTCAGCCAGGAGGAGCGACAAAAGATCTTGGCCGCTATCGCAAAGCTCGAGGCTCGAATGAGAAGATTCACACAGATGCACTATTTTGGCTTTCAAGTTGGGAGGAAATGGAAACATTGTAGTGCTGTGGCACCCTTGCAACTGCACTGAAGTCAGAGCGCCCAACAGGTGCAACAAGCGAAGAAGGCAGCGCAGAAGGGAGTCGGCCAGAGACAAACACAGGATTTTGGCGCAAATACATTGGGAATGGCGTTCAGTCGTTTGAGTTTGCGGTAAGGCAACGCAACCATTGGAAGATCATACACTGCAAAGTGATAAAAGTGACCTGCTGTTTCTGTCCCGGTAGATGGGACTCATGCACCAGGCACCCCAATTGGTGTCCAACTCTGGCGTGGAGTCCAGCACCGGTTGGCGCGTTGCAGCCACCGTGACTGGGACACGTGCGACTGGTAGTCCTGGTGGTCGGTGGTCGATAACTTTCAGAGTGGAATGAGATGTCTCTTTAGAGTCATAGAGGAGAGAGGGGTAACACATTGATAACTACACGATTCGCACATGTTCGCCATTTGCACGCGGAAAAAGGGGGGTTTGATCCGCATGCAGGATGATTCATCTCCGTTTTCTGCCGTTTGGGACATGACTCATGACTCGGCCCTTGTGGAACTCATCGTTGTTCACCTCGAGGTTAACGAGATGGAGGCGGCAGAGTTGGAGGACTTTGTCGTGAATCTGAGCAAATCCACATGCAGAGCACTTCAGAAGGCCGCGGGAGTGATGGCGCTGTCTCTTTTGTGTGGGAGTCTAGGGAGGTTCCCACTGGATGTAGAGTTGATGGATGTAGATTTCCTCCAAGTTGGTCAGTGACAATCTCATCACGATCTTTTGTTGGATTGATAGACCCTCCTTTGAATTTTGCATTATTCCAGATGGGTTCATTTGGACCAACTTGGTTCCACCAAGTCCATCGGTTCGACCTTAGCCGGGAACAGACAGAGTCCAAGGGTCGAGACGTGCTTTGAGTAGAAACATGACCATGGTCGAAGTACCTATCTGAGCATGTACCGTACCTTTCGATTTTTTGACAAGCAGCCATGTATGGACTACATGGGTTGCTGATGGTGGCTTCTGCGCTTTCGTCACAGCTAAAGCTCTGAAATTTGCGCAAAACCCTTCAAAACAGAAAACACTAAATAAGCGGATCCACGCTGCTTGGTGCTGGATCCGACCGGCGCCCTGTGTTTTTTTTGAACAGCTTGCTGGAGCTGAGGATCCACCTGTCAAATCAGACACTGCAGATCTCCATAGGCACTGTTATTACAGTACAGTATATAGCCCTGCCATGCCCAGCCTCCACTTTCACCCTGTTCACCGCCTTTTGATCGGAGCCGTGCGGGTTCACGGGGCTCGACTCGGCGAGGCCATCGGCGCGCGGCTCGAGGCCGAGGCGCCTGGTGTGGTGGGAAGTGTAAACTGATTGTAGGCATTCGCCTGATGTGGCTCAGAAGTTCAACGAGTGGTGGGAAGTTCGACTGGAGTGAAGTTCCTACTTACTTCCCCTCAGTAGATGTTTTTTTCTTTTCGAGGAGTTTTCAAGGGTAGGATGTGGTGGGAAGTTCGACTTGACTGAAGTCATACCCTTCAATCATGCCATTCAAGCTTCCCAGCCCAATAAGGCTGTAAACACCTACACACATCTACACACCCACGCTGGCAGTCGGGATGGCGAGGATGGTTCGGTCCCGGTAAGTCCCCGGTCTCACCGCCCTGGGCGGCCGCCGTTGGGTCGTTTTGGCTTCGGTGGCTCCAGATCTGGCAGGTTC